TGATGATGAGTTCTGGCTTGGTCTCCTGGACGGATCCGGTGATTCTTCCAAGGGAGATTGGGCAATGCGCTCCATCGGGTTGGTCTTGTTCACGGCAGCTGGCGTCTGTGCTTCTTCGCCTGATGGCCGGGGTTGTCTGGAGCCCGGCTTAGGGAAGTTCTCCAAAATATTGGAAGATGCATTGAGAGTCTCGAGCTTGTTGGCCCACCACAGCTCCATTGGCAATTTCCTGATGTTGTTCCTGCGCACGTCCAACACCCTCAGCTCTGTGAGACATCCTATTGAAGGTGGAAGTTCTGCGACGTTGTTGTTGGCAATGCTGAAGTGTTCCAGCTTGCTGAGATTGCCGATGAGGGGCGGCAGGGAAACGAAGTAGTTCTTGTCCAGCACAAGACGCTCAAGGTTCAGCATCATGTTAAACGTCTCGTCGATACTCGCAAGCTGGCAATGAGACAGATTCAGCATCTTCAACGTGAGAACTGGCTCGTTGATCTCGAACTTGGTGATTGGGTTAGAGTTCAATTTCAAACTCCGTATCCTGTCGAAGCTGCCGATGAACTGCGAAATACTGTTGTGGTCTGCAGAGAGAATCTCCAGCTTGGGAAGTAATGAAATGATATCGATGCTCGTAATGGCGTTGTACTTGATGTCCAACTCCCGAAGGCCCTGCAGCTCGCTGAAAGTGTCGGGTAGTGCATTTGACAGCCTGTTGTTGGTCATGACAAACTTTTCCAAGTTTCTCAGTCTTCCAATCTCGTTAGGTAGACTGCTTATCGAGTTGAAGCTCAAGTCCAGCTCGACGAGAGTCTCCACCTGGCAAAGGAACAGTGGGAACTTGTCCAAAAAGTTGGACGAGATGTTGAGGTTCCGCAAAGCCCTGTAAGCGCCAAAATACGGCGGGAGTGCCTTGAGGCGGTTATTGGCTATGTTGAGCTTGAGTATGCCCTGCAGACCGTTCAGCTCAGCGTGGTCCAGCTGTTCCAGTCGATTGTTCGACACATCGAGGTACGTCAGCTTTGCCGCCTTGCCCAAACTGGGAGGTAATCTTCGTGCTTCGTTGTTGTTGAACTTGATATCTCTCAGGTTTTGACACGACTGAATGAAGTCGCGAGGGAGATCCAATGAGAGGTTACGTGAGAGGTTGAGCGATATGATCTCAGAGGCTTTTGAGTAGAGCGAAATCGGGATGGTGATGAGGTTGCGGCCAGCAAGGTCGACATGATTGAACTTTTGTATCCGTCCAAGTCCGAGATCATTTGTGACGGAGTGGAAATCGCTCTCTCTGGAGGAGAGGAACATGAATCGGCACAGATAGCTATTGTCCTCCCGACCAACGTCTTCGATTCGGTCCCGCTCCTCGTAACCGATTTGTTGCAGTAGTCGCTTCTGCATCAAGAGTGGGCGCTCGGGGGCCGCGAGCACCCGGACCAAGTCATGCTTCTTAAGAATGATGTGGTAATTCTCTAGCCCGTCCGTAGCGTAAGTCTTCTTGATAAGCTGTGATATGACATCGGTAACGCTCGCATCGAGAGCCATTGACAAAGTCGCAAATGTCCCGTCGGATCTGAAGATTCGAATGCAGTAAGGTGTCATCTTCTCGTCGGGCCGAGGCGGACTGCCAATGTCGTCAATGTCTGGCGCCTGGTACGTGGTGTCCTCTGTATTACGACGCACAGCCCAGCTGTCCGGCGCGTTCCAAGAACCATTGGGTCCAAGGACAGCATCGGTCTTCGCGGGCACTGGGGGTGGTTGTTCGACTTTTTCGGAATCGCCAATGCTGGAGAAGACACCGCTGTCCATGGGAGTCAAGGGTTGGGGCTTCGTAAGGATGCCGTCCATGTCACTGAGGTTGGTGTCCAAGTGAATTCCTCCAAGCGATCCGAGGTTATTGTTCGCTCCAGGCTGCCTATCCGTCGGTCCAATCTGCTCATCCGGCTCCATAGTCCGTTGTTGCCGGCCTTTGCTCTTGGAAAACGGGAATCTGTTGTTGAACGTCTGGTTTCGTTGGTTGTACGCTGCTAGTCGAGGGTCCTGATCTGGACCAGGCTCGGTGCCTGAGAAGGCGAGTGGGAAAGTTGAGGGCGACAGCTCGGGTCTGGCGAATTCGGGACGAGATGGTTTGGTGGCCAGTGACCGAGTCGAACCGGGCAGGTCGCGTAATCTAGACGTTCCGTCATCTTTGTCCTTGTTCCGCCGTAGACGATGCAACAAGTTCCTCTTGGAATGATGCTGCGGCTGTTGCTGTTGTTGCTGCTGGCCGCTGGGTGACGTGGAGCCATCGACGGTGCCATGTCTCGAACTGAAGTAGCCGCCGCTCGGGGTCGGGCTTTGAGCGCGGGATCGATTGGAGCCGTACATGACTGTCGCTGCTGAGCCGCCGCGCTCTCTCAGGTTCTGTTGAACTTGCAAGCTGGCCTGCGAATCTTCCCTGCTTACAGTCGGTCGCAGGGCCCTGCCATCATCAATGCTCCTGTTGTGTCGATGGTGGTGGCCAGGGAGATGCACGATTGAATGGCCGGAGCGGCTGGATGAGGAGGTCTTTGGTGGATTTTGCGGGTTGTTGGGATTTTCGTTGTTCATGTAACGTTCGCGGTCGGGGCCGCTCAAAATGTCTCTGACTGGGGCTTCGCCGAACCTGGCAATATCCTTGAAGCACATTTAGCAGTCTTGACTCGACACAGAGAGGCGGGTGGAAGAAGGGGTAATAAGAGATAAGATAAGGCGATGGGTTGATGCGGCGCAATTCCCGTATGCGAGATAGCGGCGCCAAGGGTGCGGATGTGCGGAATGCGGATGGGGATTGAAAAGAGGAGGGATGTTCGCAACGAAATCAATCGTGGAGAGTGGGATCAACAACAATGTAGGAAATAGCGTCTAGGTACTCACATCAGCCTCTTGGTAGAGGAATGGCACGACTTCAGGAGCCGGTACTGGGGTTCTTGGTCTTGACGAGGAAGGCGAAGCTTCTCTGTCCCGCGCATGGTCTGTCGCGTTAGAGTAGTTGCGATCTCTCGTAGGGCGGCTATGGCTGTAGGAACGCGAGCGGTCCCTGCCAGAACTCGAATGCAAGCTGCTCTCGGAACCGTCTCGTCCAGGAAACTCCTCCCCAAAGAAACCCTGTAGTTTTTGCAATCCACCTCTTCGAATGCTCGTCTTGGAGCCCTGACTGCTCAAGGTCGTTATGCTAGCCAGAGAAGGCCTTCGTTCGTCTCCGAAGTATGCTACATCTGGCGAATCTTGGCTGCCAGAGGATTGAGGCGCAAGGCGATTTGTAGGAGCACGGAAGCCAGGCGAGAGCTGTGAGGCGACGGAGAGGTTATCGCTCGAATCGTTGTAAAAAGTAGTGTTGAGCTGGCTCTGAGGCGTGGATGCGGTGGCACCGCCGTTGGATGGCGACATCCAGGGAGCTATCTGGGAATTTGACGAGGGAGTGGCGGTGGGAGGGTTATGTTGGATGGAGGGCAGACGGCCGCCAGAAGTCTCTAGGACGGCCAGGTCTCTCCGGTAGTTGGCGAAGTCGCTCAGACGATGATCGCGATAGGACGAGGCATTGGACTTTGTTGTTCCTGGTGACAAAGCTCCGCGCGGCGCAGAGGCAAAAGTGGAAGAGGTGGGCGGGTCGGCTGGGCTCAAATCACTGATGAAAGACCTAGACGGGGGGGCGGAACGCAATGACCAGTCAGTTATGGGTGCATTCATCAACCAAAGAAGAGGAACACGGAGGAAAAATGGAGGAGTAAGTTGTTAGTTCTGGTGGGAGAATGAGTATGTCTTGGGTGCTTGGCTTGAGAAGCTATAACTGGGCTGGACTGGAGGGGATCGAAAACAGCAGATAGCTCCACCATTGAAGCGACGACGACAAAGCTTGCCTGGGGCCGGGGCGGAGGAGGAGGAGGCGATGGGGGACGGGGGGGACGGACGGGGAGGGGTGAGGTAAGGCAGGCTGCAGGACAGGGCAGAGGCAGGGAACGTACGAGGTACGATGAGAGTGCGGATGAGGCTTGTTGGTTCAGGGTCGCCGGGCTACTGCTGGCTTGTTGCTGGAACTTTGGAGGGGAAAGTTGGGAACAGCGCCAGCCAAGGTACAACAAGATGGGTATTGGACCCGTACGAAGTAAGGTATCCGTAGTGTGCAAGAGACGGGTGGAGGGGAAGGGGGCAAGACAAGACAAGAGAAATGTTGCAATGCAATGCGCACACCAAGGCAATACGGGCAAAGTAGCAGACTGGAATCAGCCCAGTAGCAGCATCTAGGTAGCAGGGCAGAAAAAAAGGATCAAGACAAGCACAAGCACGACCACAAGCTGGCGACAACTCAGTCCCCAGTCCTCAGTCCTCAGCTACGAATAGTACCGGTGCGAATAGTTGAGAACTTCAGAGAGTCCTTGGACCTATTCCGTTCCATAGACACTATTCGTACACCAGCTGTGTCTCGACTGGGGCTGGGACTGGGTTTCGGGACGCCGCCGCGGCACGCAGGGAAAAAAGCTGCGGGACGACAACCTGAACCAACGAGTGGCAGGGAACAGCGGCCATGGGCAGCAGAGACAGAGACAGAGACAGACAGAGAGGAGGGGACCAGGAAAGAGAGTGAGCGCCGGGACCACTTCACGACTCAAACAACCCACTTGCGGCTTGCGGCTCGCCCACGCAATACCTGGGTGGGAGGCGCAATGAGCGTGAGTGTATGGAATCAAGGTGTGAAGTGAACCCCAGCGTCGGATTTGAGAGCTGAGTGGTCTCACTCTCACTCTCACCATCGTTTCTCACTCCCACTCTCAGTCTGTTTTCCTCCATGAGTCGTCTCCTTTGGGGGTACGGTGCTGTCCACAAGGTAAAGGAAGTGGGATGGGAATTGTGTTTTGTGTGTGTGCGTGAGTGCTTGATGATTGATTGATCGACTAGGGGTTATGGGGAACGGACCGGGACAGGCACACAGGGCCAAACATTAGGAAGAACATGACACTCACTTGTCTGCGAGGGATCCATTGCTATTGCCAATGCCAGTGCCAGCGCCAGCGCCATTGCCCTCCGTCTTGAGGCGCATGGACGACTTGCGCGATGCTGGGACGGGGTTGCTGGAGGGTCTCACGGTGGCCGATGATCGGGTGCTGTCGGTACTGGTGCTCGTGAGAGAGCTGAAGCGGGAGCCGGCCTCATTCCTCGTCATTGTCGCCAGGCCGTCGCGAGAGGGCGCAGAGCCATGTCATTCCCGAGAAACAAGGTTGAGAGAAACAGAGGGGACCGGCACCCAGCAAGGCACGCTATTGCTGGTAGACGCAGTACCTACTCCGTCTCCGTAGGCGGGCACGGAATAGGATACGTACGTTAACCGCGTGATGGACGAAAGCGTGAGTTGTGGGCACTGGGCGGTATCCGTAAGTTGGGCCTAGCGGGCACGCGGGTAATCGACGACGAGGGTGGAGTGGGCAGTAATCGTAATCGATATTTGCGAGTGGGTTTTACGAATGCCCGTGGTGTACTCCGTAGATGAGGTGTGTGGAACAGAACGCGGGCGGCGAATGCGTTTGCGACTTTTGCGCACTTGCGGTTTTCAATGGAGAAAGTAAGCAAGCAATCCGGCGGGACGAGAAGCGGGGAGGGCTGGCGTCCAAGTTGGCGATCCGGTTCTAGTGTATGTACGGATAGGATATTCGTACGATGGCAAGGTAGAAGGACAGGCACGAAAACAGCTCGAGGGCGACAAACTCCAGAGTCCAAGAGAGGGGTCGAGGCCGTTCTGAGAATGAGGTGGGCCGACAGAGACAGAGGCTCCGAGTAAGGTATGTAGAGATGGATACGTTTAGATCATGCTTGTGGCGGCCAGGTGGAATGGAAAAAGGAATTGGAACGGCGGCAGGACGGGAGGTATGTTTTGTCGTCAAAAGGAGGCTGTTTTTGCAGTCCGGTCGCATCTGCTGATGTCAGTTGTGGTGCAAAGAGGCGAAGAAGAATGAGGCTGCGTGACAGCGAGAATAGCGAGGTAATGTAAGGTGCTGAGGTAGGGCCGAAAGGTCAGAGGCAACTGCTGCTGCTCTTGCTGTCTGTCACTGGTGTATGCAAGTGGTGTCCAGGCAATGAAAGTATGAGGTACTCGGGTAGTCTTGTACGACGGACAAATGAGAGCTCCATGCAATGGGTGAGGTAAGGTGCCTTGAGGTGAGGTGAGTGAGAGGTGAGAAGGTACTGATCAGGTAGCTCGACCCAATGGAAACTAAGGTGAGTTGCGTGGTGTGCAGACTGCAGAGTGCTGGTGTACGGAGATGTGGTGGCGTGCAGCGTGTGATGCGGGCGGCAGAGTAGGTACCTATCCCCCGCGCTCTGTGTTGGCGGTGCTGGGTTCCAATGGGCTGGTGGAAGAGGATGCCCTCGATGAGAGGCTTCGCTGTTCGGTATGGATGTCTACCTTTTCTCACAATTTCCCAAGTCATGTTGCAGTCATTTGTTTCTGCATTTTCGCAACCATGAATTGCAAGGCGTGTATACCCAAAGTAGTGCTTACTACGCCGAGATACTTTGCAGAATAATCAGTCGTGCCTGCCTCGAATTGCAAGATGCCCTGGATAAAGCATATTCCCATGTACATACTGCGTATTGACACACGTGGAAGGTTCCAAAGGTCCCAAGGTACTTCACGATGTCCAAGGTAGGTGCCAAGTCAGGGAAGGTGGGTGGCTTCTTACTTAACCTTTGGGTAAGGCGAGGGAGGCACCGAGTGACCAATGGTTTGTTCCCGTCCCATTTCAGTCCCAATGCCTTCCGTCCGTACAACCACAATGTGACAATACCAGGTACAACCGTGACGTCCATAAGAAACATCGTCGTTCAATCAGGTCTTTGAATGCAACTTGTGTCCCTATCCCGTATTCTTACCATGGGGTATGAGGGCCGTGTTTGAAAGAAGCACCAACATTTCATGTTTCAATCCCAGGAAACCCTGTCACCGCCAGCATAGACACAAAACCTCAATTTAGTGTGCCTATCTTGACGCGGTACGGAGACCTTCGTGCAAGGTAATGTGGGAGGTGCCTCGATGCCTACCTTACACAACAGAGTACCTTACTTCACTAGCAGGTGGATGTGGGCTTTTCCGGGGATTAGACCCGCTCCAGGACTCGCTTCCGTCGCTCTGCCGAAGCGTAGCGCGCTGAGGTGCGGTTGAGTGGGCGAGCGAAAGTGGGTAAGTAGTTGGCCGGGCTAGCTTCCAAGTACCTGAGTACGGATACCTACGAATAGACTTGCCAAAGTCTCAGATGGACCACCAGGAGTGCCGCTCAGACCGGGAAGCCTACCTATCCAAGTGAAAGAGCATCAGGAGCTTCGTACTTCCGTATGTCTTTCCCCCTGTCTCTTTACGGAGTGAAGCAAAGGTAGCGACAGGCTGGATGCTTCAAAGATAACCAACAAGTCCATATCGACATGCTCCCATCACACGTTCAGATAGGTACCTTGTAATACCAACCAGAGGTATGTTGCCAATGCACCAAGGCATACGTGATTTTTTTTCTTCTTCTTCTGAGTCTCAAAAATTCTGCCCGGCAGAGCTTTGGTTGCCCTTATTCCGAGGGAATCAAAGTGTTTGGTTCCCCGGTACTTAGCGCGGTAAGTGTGAGTGACAATATCTTCATTTTTAGCGTCTGAGGTTCCTTGAAGCGGTCCTCCTGACTGGAGGTGAAGTGTTGGTGAGGCGCTGAGGTACTGGGAAGGTGGGGTAGCAGGTAGGAACATGCTCACGGACCACCTGCAAAAGATGTCGGGTAGATGGTAGTGGGCAGTGCAGGGATGGCACCTGATGTGGGAGGGGTGGGGCGATGGGCAATTCCATGATTGGGTTTTCCAACTGAGTGGCTGACATGTTTGGGGGAAGATGGAAGGTCCCCTCCCATATCATGAAGTAGGTACTTAGTCACCTAGGTACGGACCACCGTACCTCCTCCTTCTGGGCTAGTCTGTTTGTATCTCTTAATCCGTAGTGCGCCTCACCTCCTCAGGTCTGCCCACCTCAGGGCAGGTGCTAAGCGATGCTATCTCGGGACTTGCCACCTCCCGCTAATCACCTGCGACATCTCAAGTATCGTCCTATCGTCCGTTCGCATTCCACCCAACATCGTACTGCGTACACCAAGAGATGAGAGACGAGAAACGACAGCACATCTCAACATCAACCGTCCACTCGCCCTCGTCCACCTCGCAAGGAACGGACTCGCGACTCGCAACGCCAGAGCTGAACAGAGGTCAGTGTCACCGTCCCAGGTACGGGCTGGCAGGGGAACAGACTACACATTTCAAAGAGTAATACGACTCTGACACTCGCTGCCCAATGTCATTTCCGATATTCTTCTTCCTCAGACTAGAGACCAGAGACCAGTCACTGCACTACACTATACTGCACTACGGTCCCAACGGGTAGGTCAGACCTTAGACCAGACCTCCTTCTCTCATCTCAACATGGACTTCATGGGCTCATGAACCTCCGAGCACATGTATCCGAAGTGATACGGGATACGAAGCACAAGAGAACGAAACACTGGCTTTCTTTCACCTTAGTCAGTTAATGTCTTCTCTCTGCTTGTTCGTACCCCGATCTCAGTCTCACTTCATCTTGGCACGGCGCGGCACGCAAGGTCCAGCTTCAGAACTCCATTGCAGCGCGGCTGCTGAAGCGGCTGCTGCTGCGTTACCGTTCAGTTGCTATTATTGCTTGCTCGTTGTCACATCGTGGCGTCCCAATTGCTCGATTGAACGAGTTCCCAGCTCTGGTTGGGCATCTTTGCCTCTTTTCTATTCTACCTACCTACCTACACCAAGGTACCTCACTTGTCACCCATGTTGTATGTCCATTCCTGTAGTAGACCACCCATCACCGTGTTATGCATCTGCCTTATGCTCCGACTACGGCATTGGTTCCGATCCATGTCTTGATACCTACCTCACGGCTGTCCTTCCGCGATTCATTCCCAACTCCGGCCAAGCGCCCGTCGTTGTGGGATCCGTCCAAGTTGCGAGATGACTGTCACGATCGAAGCCTCACTCACGGACATGGCTCATCTGCCAATTGGATGACAGAGTGACGACCTCATTGCTAGCTTTTTCTGTCAATATCAAATCTAAATTCCTCAAGGTTCCAACCACGGCCCCTGGCAACTCTTGTCATTCCACGGACGCAGTTCCGTTACCCTGCGGTTGGTTTAGGTTGCCTACCTTGCCTTACTGCACCTCGCTCACCCATGCAGCCACCACCTCCCACCCACAATCGTTCCCGAGTCGTTGAGCTCGCATATGAATAAACGTTCACAGCGCATCTCGTACTCGCCCACCCAACACGCACGCGCATACGCACACGCACACATGTCAGCCATGCAGCAGCCCGCGGGGCAACGCATAGGGCAGACACACCGCTGTTCACCAGCAGGGCAAGCCAGCCCAGACGCTCGTCTCATCCTGTATCCCTCCTACTGCGTACGCCTCCACGGCCTTCAACGCCGCCGTACGAGTGTCCCACGTCCCCTGGTGTTCTAGGGTTCCCCTTCTTCGCTCTCTTCCATTGCCTCCTCATCTGCGCCCTCTCAGCTGCCTGACCCTGCCTCCCCGTCCAAGCAAGTAACCTTACACATGATATCGAGCGAGCAACCTCCCTGCTTAGCCACATGTCTTCTACCACTCTACTTATTCTACGCAGCAACTCTGCTCATCTACCAAGGCTATACTTCCCAGTGGCTCCCAACCGTCGTTCACGACACTAACCATCCAGGCGTGCAAGGCCCAAACTCTATTCTCCCATCACCACCTCCAAGCGTCAATATGGCCTGATACTGACATCTTATTTGGCAGTTCGATCTCTGCATCAAGCTGCGGCTACAGCTATCTCAAACCATGACTTCTCAGTCACCCTACCCAAAGCAAAGTCCATCGCTTTTGCTACTCACCTCTTACCTTGTCGCCTGTTGCCAAAGACGGTCCATTTCAACCAGTTCTACAACGAAACTCCAGCCTCCCACTCTCCGACGCCACATGTCTTGCCTATGCACAAGAAGGACTGTCGCCAGGCGGCGATCAATGCGCCCTCTGGAGGGCCCTTGTTTCGTTGCTTTCGGGCCTCTCAGGACCACTTCGCCTCTCCCTTGCCTGGTCATCCATGCACGTCTTACCGTTCCTGTGTTAATACCATGCACACCAAAAACAGCCCGTACCTAGAGGGAGAGGCCGCGTCTGCAACCTCATTCTTAACCTCAGTAGGTACACCTCTGACACGGATCGATACTCTGGGGTTCGCCGCCATCAAAGCCGCCCCAATCTCATGATTCTAGCTGTCTGGATCATGCGAGATATGCGAAGCAAACAACCATAATGAAACAAAATTATCAACGTCGACATCAACACCACCATCACTGGGTACGTTGGAGGCATCACCGTGGTTACATGAGTTGCCTGCCACGATATGACTATGACAATCAAGCGATTACTTTACACCGGTCGACCTCTACCCGACATGTACAGCTGACCTGTTGATCAAGGCACGTCAAGTTGCTCTATAGTCAAAGAGTCTACAGTTCCAGGAGCAACTCGTTGCGAATGGCAAAAAAGGCCGATGTGGCTTTCGTAGGTTTTACCTATCCGTCCCCAGAATACCTTATACCCCAAGGCCTACCCTCCCTGTTGGACGATTCGCGAGCCGCAACAACGACAGGAAGATCGACAACCTTCTTGGGTCTAGATCTGAACTCCTCAGTTGGCATAACATGCTTGCAAGCCTGGTCGGCTAGTCTAATCCTACGAGCTACTGTTCCCAACACGCCATACGAAGTTTCATCGACAAGTCGAAGCACCGGCCAGAGGATGCATTGTTACACCCTCCATGGTCCCTGAAGATCTCTGTGCCCCCCCGAGTCAAGACACCGGCTCAAGGGTTGCAACTGTCCTTTGTTGCTGAAGTATCTCTCATTCCCGTCTGGACAATGTTGCCTTCGGAGCAGCTTTCCGGTCATCCCATCCCATCGTTTGGCAACCACCACTCTGGAGCACAAGCTCGCAAACTGAAGCGGAGGCGGCATGTTTGTTTGGCCGCATCAGGCCAACTCGCCACATCTTAATTGACTCGAGAGCATTGTCCACAGCTTCTAGAAGGTAGTTCCTCTGAACAAGTGGTTATCACGAGGGTCCCGTGAAACGGCCTCGAGCGAGTAAAAGAGCGAGGCCAACGCTCCTTCACATGGGGCCTAGACGCGGCCGCGCATGGGTCGAGCTGGTAACAAGATGGGGTTTGTTCTTTTTTGTTGTACCGGACCTCTCGTTCTTTTTCCCAGATATGGTTATGCCCAGTAATTAAAATCCACGCCACCCAACAGGACGTAACAGAAACACAAATTTTCCAGAAAAAAACACGCCATTCTCTAATCTTGTCTTGCCGGGTCCAACTTAACCTCTCCCACAATGGCGTCGACCTCGGCCATGATCTCGGGCGTCAGCTTCTCCAGAACCTTCAATGCGCCCACATTCTCCACGATTTGCTCCGGCCGTGAGGCTCCGGTGATCACGGAGGTAACGTTGGGGTTCTTGAGGCACCACGCCAGGGCCAGCTGTGACTGTGTTGCACCGAGCTTCTCCGCAATACCCTAATCACACACACACACACATGTCCCAGTCAGCCATCATGATCTCCTTGGTCCCGAGTCGCGAGTGTCGCCGGCGGCGCTAGCAGCGGACGCGCGGGGGAGTACCAAACGACAGCAACAACAATAGGAAACTTACCTTGAGCTTGACGACATTCTGAATCAGTGCCTTCCACTCGTCGTTACCGTACCACTCCTTGTTGGCCCAGTTGACAAACTTATCCCCCTTGCCCTCCGCAAACCGGCTCCCGGCCGGCGGCGCGTCGGGGTTGTCGTTGTACTTGCCGCTCAGCAGGCCCATCTTGATGGGGCTGAAGACGGTCAGGCCGAGGCCGAAGCGCTGGTACAGCCGCTGGAACTCGTACTCGACCTTGCGGCGCTCGAGGATGTTGTACTGCGGCTGCTCGACGACGGGCGCGATCATCCTGAGGTCTTTCGCGATGCCGCAGGCCTCGGCGATCTCGTCGGCGCTCCACTCCGACGTGCCCCAGTACATGGCGTAGCCCTTGTCGATGACGTGGTTGAAGGCGCGGACCGTCTCCTCCATGGGCGTCAGGCGGTCCGGTCGGTGGGCGTAGACGATGTCGACGTACTCGAGGTCGAGGCGCTTGAGGGAGGCGCGGAGGCCCTCGATGATGTGCTTGCGCGAGAGGCCGTGGTTGTTGACGAGGACTTCGCCGTTGGCGCCGCCCCAGTTGAGCTGTACGTGCGCGCGACAGGTTAGAACAACTTGCGGTTCGACTGCGCGCTGTCGTTGCTTCTGCGGAGTTCCGTGGTGCAAGACTCACCTTTGTTGTGACGACAATGTCGTTACGGTTCCAGTTGAACTTCTTGATGGCCTGGCCCATGATGATCTCCGAGTTTCCGCCCGCATAGCTGTATGGAGCGGCTTGTGATTAGCTACTTCATCTTCGCTTCACTCGGCCGCAACCGCATGGTATCGCACGGGAGAAGTTCTGGGGAGACTCACCTCTCAGCTGTATCGAAAAAGTTGACGCCAAGGTCGTAAGCCTGCTTCATACACGCAAACGTCTGTTCTGCAGCGCGTCGTAACCGTCAGTGACGCTGCCAAAACACACGAGTCTTACAGAAGATTCGCTTGAGTCCCCGTCCCGTACATACCATTCTCAACGTGGCCGCCGAACCTGTTGTGTTCACCAAAGTCAGCACGATGGTCCTACAAAGCACTTTGCAATTTCGCGTGAGGAAATAGGTAGGAGAAACGTACGTCAACCAACCGCCCAAACCCAGCACCGAGACGTGAAGTCCCGAGTTACCCAGGCGGCGGTACTGCATGCCCGTCTTTCTAGGCTCTTCCCACGCCATTGTGTCTTGTTCTACTCGGTCTGTCGGGTTGGTGATCAGGGGTAATCTAGGTATCTCGGCGTCGGGCGTCGTCTCTCGAAGCGTAGGGAAGTGGCAAGTATGCGAAAAAAGGATGTAAGATGGTATGTTTACATTCACTCTCGTCTACTTTTTTTTTTTTCCTGCGCTTCACACTGCCTGCTAATGATTTTACCCCTCCGTCTTCGCTCTCGCGCAACATGGGAAAGCTCCAAAAGAGCTTGCCCCGCACCCCTCCTCCCTCTCTGCGGAGATATTATCGGAAAGTGATGTTTCTTTTTTACCCCTCCATAACCACCCCACCCACGTCATGCTAGCAGCTAAAGTAGTGGGAATCCGACTGGCATTGACCAATGGTCCACCTCGCAGCGGCGCGGTGCGGCTGGCTGCAGCTGGGTAAAGGAACAAACCGCATGTTGATCCCCGAAGGATTACCATCATGCATATCCTATAAGTAAGTAGGTACATACATATAAACGGGTCGCGGCAGGGCCAACCACCAGAGGGGAGTTATCTAGGCACTCAGGTAGGCCGGCTTTCCGTACTTCTCGCGGTCGAAAGCCGGACCGGTAGATATGTACTAGACACGCTTGGGGGGGACTCGATGGCTGTTTCGGCTTATGGCGCTTCTCTTTTGGTCTCTGAGGTGTCTGACGTGGAGGCTGCACCGCGGTGACCATCGAGATGTCCGCTTGAATGACTGCTGAATAGAGCAAGTTGTACCACCATCAACATCGCTAGAGAAGTTGGAGGCGGTTGTGGCAGTCTGACGGGCCAGCCCAGCCCGGCTCCGGGAGTAGCCTCCGTCGCGATGAGAATTCCGGACCCTGGAAGACGGGGCCAGGAGTGTGTAATAATTCATGATCCCGCTGAGAGTTGGAGAAGAGCTTTGTCGAAATGGCAACAGGCTTGTGCTTGCCGTGACTGCCGATGGTGCCGAGCTCTCGTTGATATACTAGCTTTTGGCAGATTGGGATATTCATAGATGAACGTCGAAGGCTTACAAGAGCCTACCTACTACTATCAAATTGGTCCAGCTAATACTCACTTTGTCACAAGAATATTCCGATACGACAAAGCCATCTGACCACCATTTGACGTACTTCGAAGTACTTGATATGATGTTTATGAGCCGTCAGTGTTGCCATTTCATGCCACTTACAAGAGAGAAAATGCATGAACAATGATATAGAGCACTCTGCATCATTCTACATATTATCGGCGTGCTCTCCGTGAACTACAAGTCGCTGGGCTTTGTGAAGCCTCCGCAAGTCCGGCCTATTCCCACTACGATCCTAAGGCTCCGGATCCCGAATGAACCCCTGTAGAATCGGTGGACCCGGCAAAAATCTCGGGGACGGGGTCGGGGGCTGCTCGTGTGGACGGTGGGCCAGCACCGCCGGCGGGGCACTGGGTAACACACACACATCCATCCACTTGGGAGGAACCCAGCACTACCACACCACACCTCTTTGCTTTCAACGCAGGCGCAGTTACACAATGGGAGGGTTGATCTTCTCAACCTGCAACACGACACAACGTAACGGCATTAATGCAAACTGCTTCCTGAACATCTCCCGCGCGTCTGCGGCTGTACCTGCTTGAGAGATCATCATACTCTTACATGTTTTCTTGTTTCTTGAATAGGTAAGGTAGTAACGTAAGGGAACGTCTGCTCAATAGGTGCCTTTATGCTCAAACGTGTACATCCGTCTCACCCATATACAAGTATAAGTCGAGGTACCTGCAAACAGGGCGGAACCTCCGCAACTTTACTGTACAGAGCATGTAGCCCAGCCCTTGGGGCAGCCAAAAAGTTACCCCGCATGACGGAGACGGGTTCGATGGAGGGGCAGCTGCATTCAACCTCCGATTCGGGGAAGACCCGACGGGGGAAGTGAGAGAGAGTCTCCAGAAAGCCCATTCCCTCTCGTCATTCGTCCCTTTCTCGCTCGCTTTTCTCGCTCGAATTCTCCCGTGGTCCCCAAGTGTCGGGTCGGTAATTATCAACCCATTCCCCACGCAAAAGGGATCCCAAGTACCTGAAATTTGGCTGCAACAACCCGCCGATCATCTCTTCCCTACTACCTTACCAAGTACAACCAGCCCACGCGCCGTCTTTTTGTGTCTCGTGTTTGGCTGAACATTGGCTTGTCCGCCTTACTCAGCTTCGTCCAAGCCAACACTTTCCCATCTCCAAATTCTTCCAATTGGTCACCGCGACCAGTCTTTACTCGCAGAAACTCTTTGCAAAGCCCTCCTCCCCCGCCAACGGACCAAGCTCCTATTACCAAACCGCTAACCAACCCCCCGCCCTCTTACCGGAGAGCCTGAACTTTGAATCTCTTAAAGGAGTCTCTGCTCGCTCTTGTCTTTGCAGCTCTTTCAAATTGTATAAGACGTAGACCTCTTTGTTCTTATATTACCAGACGCTGTTCGTTTCTCAAAGTCCGTTGCCGCATTGCGTGTATTCCAAAACAGCTACGCAAACGACCCCGAACCGGCATCACAGCTTTCTACTCTCGAAAGCTTCGAATTATCCAACAATTCCACACTACTTCTCACCGTAAAACCTACAATACACACAAGTTTCCGCCCACAATGGCACGCTATGTCGTCGCGGAGAGCGCGGGCGGGCGTCCCCCCAAGAGACAGCTTCGCAAGTGGTGGAAGGAGAGCTCCGTATACCAAGTCTACCCGGCCTCGTTCCAGGACTCGACCGGCTCGGGCGTGGGCGACCTCAAGGGCATCATCGACCGCGTCGACCACTTCAAGTCCCTCGGCGTCGACATCGTGTGGTTGTGCCCCATCTTTGAGAGTCCCCAGATCGACATGGTGAGTTTCTGGCAGGCCGTACTCTTGAAAAGACATTTCATAAACTCGGACGGATGAACTGACCAACAAAACGTGCACCAGGGCTACGACATCAGCAACTACAAAAAGATCCACGAGCCCTACGGCACCGTCGCCGACGTCGACGCCCTCAAGGACAAGCTCCACGAGCGCGGCATGAAGCTCGTCCTCGACCTCGTCGTCAACCACACCAGCGACCAGCACGAGTGGTTCAAGCAGTCGCGCAGCTCAAAGAACAGCCCCTACCGCGACTGGTACATCTGGCGCAAGCCAAAGTACGACGCCCAGGGCAACCGCCAGCCTCCCAACAACTGGGCCTCCCATTTCCAGGGTTAGTTCTCTCAGGCCATCCCATACTTCCTCAAGGCTCTGGAAAGCTTGTTGAACCCGCCTACTCGAAGATGACGGGAAAATTCAACTAACATCGGACGTCTACATACAGGCAGCGCGTGGGAATACGACGAAGCAACAGACGAATACTACCTCCGCCTCTTCGCCCGCCAACAACCCGACCTCAACTGGGAGAACCCCAAAGTCCGCGCCGCCGTCCACGACATCATGCGCTTCTGGCTCGACAAGGGCGCCGACGGCTTCCGCCTCGACGTCATCAACTTCGTCAGCAAGCCCCAGGACTTCCCCGACTCCAAGCAAGAGGTCCTGCCCGGTTCCGAGCTCTACTCGGCCGGGCCCAGGCTGCACGAGTACCTCAAGGAGCTGGGCGCCATCCTGCACGAGTACGACGCCTTCAGCGTCGGGGAGATGCCCTGCGTGAGGGACCTGAACGAGGTGATCAAGAGCGTGAACGGCGATCGCGGGGAGCTGAGCATGATTTTCCATTTTGAATTGTGAGTATCCAACCCGCCTTTTACCCCTATTTTGCCCATCCACTATCGGCAGGACAACTAACAAGCATCTCCTCCCCCCTTCCAGCGTCGACATCGACATCGGCCCCCACGGCAAATTCTCCGCCAAAGAATGGGACCTCGCGGAGCTCAAGGGCATCGCCAACAAGTGGCAGCGCTTCATGTACGACAACGACGGCTGGAACGCGCTGTACCTCGAGAACCACGACCAGCCGCGCTCCGTCAGCCGCTTCGCAAACGACGCGCCGCAGCGCCGCGTCGACAGCGCAAAAGCCGTCGCCATGTTCCAGGCCCTCCAGGCCGGCACGCCCTTTGTTTACCAGGGCCAGGAGATCGGCATGGTCAACGTGCCCAAGGAGTGGCCGATGGAGGAGTACAAGGACATTGACTGTCTGAACCACTGGAAGTGAGTATACGGTCGTAAATGTTAGGCTGCGCAAAGAATGATGCAATGCTGACAATCTCCCCCGCAACCAGCTTGCACAAGGACTCCAAAGACAAGGAATACCTCAAATTCCTCAAATCCCAATACCAGAAGAAATCCCGCGACAACGCCCGCACACCAATGCAGTGGACCGCCGCCCCCAACGCAGGCTTCACGACACCCCAGGCAACCCCGTGGATGACGGTGCACCCGAACCACACGGAGATCAACGTCGCCGCGCAGGTCTCGGACTCGGCCTCCGTCTTCAGCTTCTGGAAGACGGTCCTCGCGACGCGCAAGCGGTACCTCGACATCTTTGTCTACGGCGACTTCGCCCTCGTGGACGAGAAGAACGAGAAGATCGTGGCGTACGCGCGGCGGGCCGAGGACGGCGCCGTGGCGGTCGTGGCGTGCAACTTTTCGAGCGGGACGGTAAGTTGGGAGGGACTGAAGGCGGAGAGCGTCAAGGAGGTGCTTGTTTCCAACGGCGGCAAGACGGCGGAAGATTTCAGTGGGGGCAAGGTCGAGTTTGGACCGTACGAGGGAGCGGTTGTGCTTCTGGCCTAGTGTTTTTGATTGTTGGAAGCGGTTGGGTATAAAAACTAAATTATAGAATGTAGACAAAAATCTGGAGTACTATTTTTGCGTTTACTATTTTTGCGTTCTCCTTACAGACGTACTTGTGCTTTTTTGAGACTGCTTATCATCATGTCACGGCTTTTGATCTGGTGGGTAGTCAGAGATAGATCCAGATGATGGAGAGGCCAAATGAGGATGACAGCTTACCTAGGGATTCGGAAACCACGCTCATGATTCTCTCCTTTGACGCCTGAACGCCAGAGTTCGTGCTTCAGTCTTGGCCAAGACGTAGGCATTTGTGTCACTTCAAGTCGAGTGCTTGCCCATATGTACCATCAACTCTTACGGCTCGTAAACGATTTCTTCTGACCCACAAGCATCCTCAACGGCCACAAATCATAAAACAGCCCAGAACGGTAGTTTGCTACTCATACGTCCTCTGCAAATTGGCCGGAGACTGCGTCGGGCTGTTGAACACGCCCGGATTCCCCTGCACCGACGCCATCCAATCGTCGTTTGCGACGTTGTCCCACAACGCCCCATTGGCAAAGAGCATATCGAGCGTGCCGTTGGACTCGACGGTGTTGAAGGAGCCGTCAAAGTGCTGCAGCTGATCAATTAGGTCATGGGGGGCGCCGGACCCCATCTGGCTGGTGGATTGATCCCAGACGGGGGTTCTGCCGATGCCCTGCCGCTGAGGTGACAGAGGTACTGTGTTGCCGTTGGTCATGCCCTGCGCGGAGGTACCA